CCCGATATTCCCTTTGAGAGAAGCCCTTTCCCTCGAAGACGAAGGAGAAGAAAATTTCCTCCCCGGACTTGCTCGCGCATAATCGCGACCGTGCCGTTCGACGAGGGAAATTTCAACGATCGATCCTGTTTTCTTGTTTCCTTTAATTCGACCGTCGAGCGCGCTCGAAATGCTTACCCGATTTATTTTCAAATATTCGTTTCTTTCCTTCGAACGTGATAATTGGAACGTCGGACTCGGAGGGAGGCGTTTCGATAGGTCCCTTATTTCTTGACTATTTGTTTTAGAGTGTAATTGAACAATTGCTGGTTGCTACATTAATCAACTCTCAGAGATAACGAGAAATTTCGTTTTCCGATTTCTTAGCGCGCAATCATACTCGCAGAACTATATTTCACAACAAAGATTCCCTTTAGATCTCTCGCTTGTTCGGTTAATCAATCTATTCGACAAATAAAAATTCCCTAATTAATCCTTCAGTCAATCGTTCCTCGAGTCAGCCACTCATTCAAGCAATGACCACACTATTCCCCAAAAACAGCAAGAACTAACAACAACGCAACGTTAAAACGAAAAGTATACCGATCAATCCCGTCAAGCATCTTCTAATCGGTCTACCGATCGGTCGATTCTCGCCTGTACCAGGCTAGACCGTCAAAGGCAACGCGGTCAACGGCGGAGACACGTCGAAACGGAAAGATGCGCGACCGACGTTGTCCGACGCCGACACAAAAACGCCGCTGCATTGTTTAACATACCCGACAGACAACGGCGTGTGTGTGTATTATCGGGAGAAGACGACTTGTAGCTTAGCGGAACGGTATAACGACAAGAGACGTCCCGGCAGCTTAGTTTAATGGTCTTCATTGGTTTATGGTTCTGATTAGTTTATGGTTCTGCGTATGACCGTATCGGACAATAGGAAATTAGCGAAAATACCAGGGATCAGGAAATAAAGCCGACAAAGAATTGGCCGAGGAGATGAAAAAGTGACCGATCAGTCAAATTCCTCGGCCGAGCGGAGAGATCAAGTGATCTAACGGTACAGCGGAGAGCTTCGTGCGCGTCTGCCTGCGCGCGTCGTCGGATCGGTTGGACGTCGACGCGGCAAAATACGCAGCGCGTGTATTTTTAGTCGGTCCTCGGGAACCGCGAAACGGTCGCGCGGCCGCTCGGCCGCTCGCCGAACAGATTTCCCTCGCCACCCGAGGCGGTTTCGCGGTTTCCTGGCTCGTCAGATGTTTACAATGTGTCACAACATTGTAGCGTGTCGCCCGCGGGCGCTTTTAGACCCGCTGGCCGCCGGCCAACCCGCGCGAACGCACGCGCTTAGAGAAACGCGAAGATCCTGGCCGCTTCGCGGGAATCCCCGCGACCTCTCCGCGCCGATCGAGACAGCTCTCGCGAGCGACGCCGCCGCGGACTCCGCGAGAAAAACCGAATCGCCTTTCACGCGCGAAAACAAACGACGATTTTGTTTCCGATCGGTCTCCCGGGAGATCAGCGAGGACTGCGACATTCCGAGCGTACATGGTTCATAAATGGCCACTCGTTTGTCTATTTTTTTCAACGACAGATCGGTTGGAGAATATTATTCCGAGATCAACTCGGTACCAGCATTTATTTTGAACGCGATTCGAGTTACTAAATATAATGCCGTCTTTAACCTTGAGCAATCAAATCTATAGGTTTCGTTTCGTTTGGTGTACGCAAAATACGATCGTTACAAATACGTGACACGTTGGCGATGTTCGCTTGGCCGGAGAAAATCTCGTTGGCTGTCATTGGTTTCGTTCGGGTGAACTAGATGAATTATTTGGAATAGCTAATAGGATCTCTGCCCGGCCGCCTATTCAGCGCGTCGATTGGAATATTTACTTCTCGGAATGTGTCGTGCGCGCGGTATCCGTTTAAAATGTCCATTCAGCCTCGCAAGCCAACTGTCACGTCGAAAAGGGAACCGAGATATTCTCGCCGAAGCGACCGCTGCATAGAGAATGATTCATCGATGATTTTTAGCTACGATGGAATCGCGATCGACGCGCACACCTATGGCACATGTCCGTTCGAACTCGAACCTACCTGCGTTCAGTTGCGCCTCTTGCAGATAAGACAGTGCCATTCTATGATCCGTGGTGGCTCTCACTTAGACATTCCATCCACTTCCGCGCACAATTACGATCACTTCCCGCGAGAGCGACGCGGAACCAGAGCTCGGGTATACGTTCCAAGCAACGGCACACTCTTTACCACTAAGCCAGCCGAGTCGCAGCAGCAACTTGCTAGAAGTGCTCGGGTCCCCCGCGGGTTCGTCGTGCGAATTTTCAAGCGAATCCTCCCTCCTCCCGGACTCGAGGGTAGCAAACTGCTCGATCCGCGTCTAGGTCTCGGCGAGAAACTGGCACGAGTCCCACGTGCTGCGACCGAATCGAACCGAATCGAAGCGAAAGCAGCGGGCGGCAACAAACGAAACGTGGAACCAATTCGACGACGGTGCGTAACGGTCTCTGTCGGGGAAGGATCTTGGAACGAACCGATATGCGAGGCTGGAAAAAAAACTATACAACTGATAACTACTCTACTATAAACAACAAACGTCGCCGTCCGACCACGAGCACCGACGACGATCAACGACGTTGCTCTGGGCTGACCTAACCCAATACTAGCTGACAATCGAGTCGCGCTCACTGTAGTCAAACATCCCCCACCACTGGAGCCGGACGAGTCCCCACCAGGTTTCGCCGTCAGCGCTCCTATCCCCACTCGCCGTCGCGAGAGCTTCCCTTTCTACCCTCCAGAATCGCAACCCCGGATGCGCGCGAGTCTCTCCGGACCGAAGAGCTTTTAGGGGGGTGAGGCGAGACCGACACTGATGCTGAGTGGGCTGGAGGGAGACGAGGTGTACGCTCGCGAGCCTCCGAGCGAGACGCGCGCCGGCTGAGTGACGAGTTGGAGAACGGTGGGCTTCTTCGGGGTTAGGGGGAGATTGATGTCGGGAGACTGGGTGAACCTGCGACCGTGATCTTTAAGGGTGGAGAGTCTAGAGCAACGCGAGCACGCTGGGCTACTCGCGACGCGATGGACGGAGAATCATCCTCAACAGGGTGTTGACGCACTGTCGAGGCGTTTATCCTATATTAACACTTTCACTGCCAAGCAAACACTCATCGAAACTCCCATCTACTCGAAACAGTTTTCTCTATTAACCGGAAACTGAGAAATCAAGATTCTTCTTAATTGCTCCACTATCTTTCTCGTATCTCATATATCCAACAAAATTCGTTTCGTTCGATACGTCATGAAAGAAATTAATGTCCACGTTTCTGTAAAATATAATTTTACGTAGCAGTCAAAGGGTTAAACAACACCTTTCTAATGCGTTCGCGTATTTATTATTTTAGTTCATCACGCGTCGAGACCCATTGGACCCAACGATCAACGATAACGCGTTCTTTTCGAATAAACATTCGTCGTTCATAGGTGATTTAGAAATTGAGGTTGCTCGTCGTTTTCTGCTCGTTTCGGATGATCTTCCAAATGCTGCGTGTAGTAACGTAAGAGCCTGAGCGACGTTGCTTTTCTATCGATCGAGTTTGCGAATGCGAATGAGAAATGAATATAACGAATAAAGGTTACCCACGCGGATAAAGAGTAATAGGAACATCGAGTGACGAATGACCGCACGATGATTCATTATTTCTTCGTCACTGTTGTTCGAATCAAGTTTTATTCTTGGTAACCATCTGTTCTCTCCGAGTTTCATGTTTTCCAGTACTGTTTTCCAGTGACATTTATTTAACGAGGTATTACGAATCTAACGTAATACGATCCTTACGAGATGAAAGTGGAAAATCCCAAAACGAAGAGACATTTACATCGTTTTCGCTTACTTTTGCGAGAAAGAAGTAATCGGATACCGAAGGATATTAATACATCGATTGACATCCATGGAAGATGACAATGGATCCGTACACTTTTACGAAGTTTCTTTAATTTGCCCCTTCGAAGGAAAGTAATCTCCTCGAAGCATCGTTTCTCATGGAACAAAGATTGCGCGATATTAAACATCACCGGCGACCAACGCGTAATTATAACTTTCGCCCTTAATGTCGATTGCGGAGCGTTCCCGGCGCGTTTCTCAGTCTCGAACGGCGCATTCCTCGCGCCAAGTTTCTTTTTCCAAGTAACGACCCGTCGATTTTACATCTTCATTACAGCGACCGCGCACGTGCGCGATGTTCGGCATCGTTCTCAATATTTCAAAGAACGGTCGATACGGAAACTTTCCGTCCGCGGACTGCGACGTCCACAAATCGTTCGGTCTCCCTGGAACCCGGCTATTAGAAGTCCGCGCCGATGCATTATGAATCGCGCGTGCATCGCGCGGAATTTTTCCGAAAGCCGCGCGGGAAACGTGGAAACGCGGGGGCAGAGCGCGGGACAAAGGAAACGCCGCGTTCCGGAAATATCCGAGGAAAATTCTGTTCCAAGAATTTCCAGAGATTTTCGAAGATCGAAACGCAGAAATTGTCGTTACCGGGATATCCGGTAAACAACGGGAGATACAGAAGGAAAGAGAAACAACGGAAAAATGAAAGCGTCGCGCGACTTTGTTCCAGCGTTCGGGAAACCGGCGCGCAAAAACTGGCGCCTCTTTTCGGCACCGAGTCAAACGAACCCCGAACAATGCAATTTACGCGGGCGCGGTGTATCGGACCGAGCCGTGCGCGTGAAATTTCCACGAGCCGGCTCGCGACTTCCGAGCGCGATAACACGCGTCACAATGCCCCCGAAAGTATAGTGCCGCCACTGTGTTTTTTCCCATTTTTTCTTCCCTTTTTTTCCCAAAACAAATTTTATCTCTCGCACACTCCTCTCCCCTGTTGCAGCTAGATTGTAGCTATTTTTCTGACCGGTTGAAAAACACGCTGCTCTCTCTGGTTCCTCTTTCCCTCTTCCCTCCTGTCTAGAAAGTGAAAAATACTCTCTCTGTTCCTCCTCTCGGAATGAAATAGTCGTTCCTTTATCTTTCTCCTTTTCTCTCCGTCCGTCTTTCTCTCACCTGCCCCCCCGTGCGCAGCGCGTGCCCCCGGAAAGCTTGTCGGGTGCCCGGTGCGCGATAAAAAAAAGTGGAAGAATGCCGGGGCGCGTGTTAACCCCGCTCGTGCGTGTTCGTGGAGCCGCGAGACCACGCGCGCCGCACTCGACGCGCTGCGCCGCCCCTCCCGGCCCGCTGTCGTTAGCAGCAGGATAGAGACGGAGATCCGGAGATACGCCAGAAGGGAGGGCGAAACGGGATGAAACGGTGCAGCGCGTCGAGGAGATCATCGAGGGATCGACCGGAGGAATCTCGGTGGCCGCGGTCCGGCGAATTAGTCGAGGCCCTGTACAACACCGGTCTCACCCTCCCAGTTTTTTCATCTGTCTCCGTTCTCCTTTTTTTCTCCTCTTTAATTTCCGTTTGGGGAGACGATCCTCTGGGTGGCCGCGCGGCACGCGAGCGCTCGGCATTGTGGGAATTAAGAGGACTCTTTGGATCGGTAATTGCGAACGATCGATCGAGACTACTTTTCCGCGTTGAATACGTGTGGTATCGCTTAATTATTACTATCGAGTTCATCTGATGGTAAATAGACGATTTGTTAGTTGAATAATTAGTTTGAAATATCCGATTTGATCCTCGTTAATGCAATATGTATACACTCGGAGCGTTGACAAGATTCCATGTTTCCACGCATTCGATCGCAAAAAAGGTAGGGTGTCCGCGGAGATCGGGCGCGGCCGTAAGCACTTCCGTACACAAGCCTGACAAAATATTGTGGAAAAGAGCGACCAGGTATAAGGGGTAGCTTTCGTATAAACCGCGAGGAAAATACGGGACCGCTATAAAGCGGGATCCGATTTGAGTTAGCGAGCGGCCATTGTTGCGGGGCGTCAGCGTAAATCCGAGCCGCAATTTCCAAGTGTGAACGTCGTTATCGTTTCCTTTCTACCGTTCCGGAGATCGCAGCGCTGAGGATAGGGTTAGAGGAAACTCGGATTTCCCACTAGATCGTGCGATCGGCAGCGAAACACCGGAACCCAAAAGGAGGGGATGCGGTCCCCGTTTTTTTTCTTGTAAACGCTGTTAGCCATTCACAATGGATAGATTATTGGCAATTATTACGATACTTAACCCTTGGACGCCCGACGTGAAAGCGAGGCGCGTTTCTACCTGGACAAGACCCATTGTCCAGGCAATCATGCATTGTAACCCTTTCAATCTCCCCGTTGGTGTATACCTGCTGTCCTTGGGACGCAAAGTTAAACGCCCGACCCATTAGTCGATTCCGAATGTTTAATGTGTTAACCTGGTCCCTTTCTTTACTCCTTTGTCATCCGGAAACTCCCGTTTCCCTTCTGTCCCCGGCGAACAGCGAGTGTGAACAATGCATACGCCTCTGGTTATTTATATATTTAAGGATTTTGCGGTAACGCGTATTACCATTCGAATGTTTCAAGCGAATTGCCGCTTATTCACTGCAAAATTCAGACAAAGCTTCCCGTTTCCCTGTTCGTTATTCAGCCCTCCGAAAGTTCGCCGGAAATACTCGATAGGTTCGCATCAGATACAGATGACGCTCTTCGAATTAAGGAATAAAGTTCCACGCATCGAATCGAGCGACAACCGAGCAAACTTTCCATCCTACTCTCGACGGTTCGTAGAATCGAGTGTTTTGCGTGGTAAACTAACTTTCACGCTCGAAGCTTGTCGAAATAAAGAGCGGAACAACTCCGTCCGCCCTGTTGAGCAAAACGGCTTCCCTCTCGCTATACCTCCAGATCAAAGAAAATCCTCGAAGAGGTACGGCATAGTTTAGCCTTAAAAATCAGCTTTAAAAATCAGCCTTGCAAATCAGCCCGAAAACAGTCTAATGACCGGACAATATTTCCGATGGCAGTAAAACGGGCCTAAGGGTTGCCTGTATACCATCTTCAATCTCGAACGTTGTTAAACGTTGGTGGAAAGGTGGGCAGTGAGGTTCTTCCCCCCTCTGCGACCTGGCGAAAAACATTTTACTCTGGGTCTGAATGATGTCTCTGTTATGGCTGAAGCTCTCTAAGCGTAGGATATGGTAAAGGCGGGCATGCTAACTGACAGTGGTACCGGCAATTAAGATTACGATTGCTCTACTTTCGCACGAAAGGGGACCCTAAACTGCTCGTATACCTTTTTCCCCGGCGGGGTAGCGTCGGCCACGGGTGGAATAAAGGAATTATGACGACTTATTGGGGGGCTGTTCCAACTTTTATCATTTTATGGCTGAAATTATCAGGTATGAAA